TTGCCCCTGTTGTTTCGCTCTCCTATACCGAACCTGCCAATGTGTTTCTCTCCGGTTTTCCCTCCTCGACTGAGTTTTGCGTTGAAGTCGCCCATCACCGTCGCATAGGTTGACTTAATGGTGAGAGTTGATTCGAGCTCCGCATAGAATTTTTCAACTTCGTCGTCGTCACTGGCGGTAGTAGGGGCATAGACTTGAACGATTTTGAGGGTCTTGTTTGGATTCAGCCGTAGGAGGAGTATACCGACTCGCGATGAACTAAAGCGGTAGGAAAGGATTCGTGGAGACCACTTCTTGTTCACGATAAACACCATTCCTCCTATGTTCCCCTGTCTTTCTCCTTGGCTCAAAAGAACCGTGTTGCCATCCCTCCAGGTAGCGTTAAGTTCTGATATTTTCTTCGTGTCTCACAAACGCCGAGTACATCGCAAGATGTTCTATTTATCTCCTGGAGACGATGGTTGATGTCTTCGTCCATCGATAGCGACCTACAGTCGTAGGTGTATATCGAGAGGTCAGGTCGATTTCTTTTTCTTTTTCATTTTGGTGGCCTGGTGCATCCTGAGATTCCTAGCAGCCCCTCGTCCTTCGGTTGCTGGCCCGCCGCCTTAGACCGGTCCCAGGGACGTGCAGGTACTGGGGCCCATATTCTTTTCTTCTTCTGTTCATGATTGTTAGACCTGTTAATTCACCACTCGCTGGTCCAGGCTGTCAGTGGTACCGCCCGAGCTTAGCCGGCCAGAGATATTTTGCCGTCGTCACTCCCACACCACGATGAGGTGCCTGGGTCGGAATTTTGTTGGAGATATCTAACGTTACTACCGTAAAAAATTTACGTTGTTCGAATGTTCACAGATCATCGCCTGCTACTGATTCTTCAATCGATTATGCTGGAACACAATGCTTTGAATTCTTTGCCTTAGAGAATGGCCATTAATTAAAATAAATAAGAGAGTGCGTGCATTCAAACTTATTTTCAGTAAGTTGTATACAGATATCATATCTAAGAGATGAGGCATCTCT